AGTTATCATAGGCACTAAGCGATGGAGTTCAAGTTCAACTATCACCTAAATATCACTTATAATATGGACCATACTATAAAAATACTTTTTTTTTTATTTGTCTATACAATTATTTATAATAATAATGGAGAGATAAAATTCAACTATCACTTAAATATTGCCTATAATTTGTATTGAATTGTAACATATATTTTTATTTTTATATACAATTATTGATAATAGGAACCAAGAGATGGAGTTCAACCATCCCTTAAATATCGCTTATAGTTAATCGGTAATATCCACCTAGTAATAATTATTTTTTTGTATTTCAAACATTTTTTATTTTGATGTCTTGAATTAAAGTGTTTAGATTAATTTTTATGGATACACTATTTTATAATCTAAATTATTTTGAATTGTAAAGTAAGAACCATTTAATGAGAGAGAACCCTTAATATCGATAAATTTGTTAATCAAAATATTAATATTTTACCGTTTAAACCATATAACATTTTTTTTTTCAAATTTTTATATTTTTGGAGACTAACTTCTCCAATAATCACAAGGCACACCACCGGCCAAAACTAATCCAAACACTCTTTTTCTAAAATGAACAACCAATAACTATTTCATTAATTACAATATAAGTTTTTCTAATTGTACTTTAATTATTAGATTTTTAATATTAATTAATATTAAAAATAAGCAATAATTCCAGGAAAAACCCTTACAATATTATAGCATGACTGTACATACAAATCCAGTGCAATCACAGGTCAAATCAAAATTGCCTTTAGAAGTGAGGTATTCAAACATTGACTTAATTTTTAGAAAGTTTATATTGCCAAAGTTAAAGTAAAGCTAACACAGTTGTTCAAATTTTGATTTAAAAAAAAATTAATAAATTTTAAAAGAGTTAGAAGCTAAAGCTTTAAGCATAATTTTATAGAAAAATTCTTTAACCCAACAATGAAAAGAAAAAGAAAAAGAAAAAGAAAAAAAGAGAACGGAAATCCAAGGTCTTTAGCCCGGGGAAAACCATGGGCCCTGGCCTATAAAAGGCTTCAAACCCAATTCCCAAAAGCATGAAATTTCGACCTACGAATCCCAATTGTCCTAAGCCCAATCGATCTCTTTCTGGCCCAATAAGCCCAATCTATCTCATCACCTCAGCCGTAACCCGCTGTCCCTTCTGGCAACGGCGAAGGGAACACATAAAAATGCGAGGGAACGGAACTCGGAAGCTCGCCGGTCGGACCCCGGCGGCACCGTGGGGAACCTCTCCTCAAATTTCTCTGGTTTCATCTCCCGATTCTCTTTATAAAACCAGAGGTATTATCGTCTTTCTTTTCCTTTCTAATGTTCTTTGCTGCCTCGTTTACCTTATGTTCATCAGTTCATGTCGATATCAATCAATTTATTCATTCAATGCATCCATTCCATGAATACAGAGTTAAATCAGAAATTAGTTCAGATTTCTGCAGCTTTTGATGCAAAATTCGATATGTCTGTTGACAAGGTTCTCCAATTCAGTATACAATAATTTTGGTTTCTGGGGAATTTTGGGGATTTTTTGGTTTTTGATGTCTCAAAATGTTAAAACATTTCTTCCTAAGCAGACAGATTGATTGTTGATTTACATTTCTTTTAGATCATCGTAGACTCTGTTATTTTCTTGAAGCCTGCAAGCAGATGTCGGATTTTAAGGCTGCAACAGCAGCCCACACTAGGATCATTAAGCTCGGATACGAAACTTATCCGTCCACCATAGCTTGTTTGATATCTTCTTATGTTCATTGTAATGGCCTTATTTTGGCTCGTCAACTTCTTGAGCAAGTTTTCTTTTGGGATTTTGATCTGGTGACTATGAACTTGGTTATTCAAAATCTTATGGAAGTTGGAGAATATGGTTTTGCAAAGAAGGTATTTAATAAAATGGCTATCCAAGATGTGGTCACTTGGAACTCAATGATTGGAGGGTATGTAAGAAGTGCACGTTTTGAGGAAGCAATAAGATTATTCAGGCAGATGATTAGCTTGAATGTTGAAGTGGATAAGTTTACATTTGCATCCATTATGACAGGGTGTGCCCGGCTGGGAGCTCCCAATCTTGCTGTTTGGGTGCATGATTTGATGACTGAGAAAGGGGTTGAAGTTGAACAGAATTTCATACTAAGTTCAGCACTAATTGACATGTACTCAAAATGTGGTAGAATTCAAACAGCAAAAGAAATTTTTGACAACATCCAACGCAATAATGTGTCTATCTGGAATGCAATGATTAATGGCCTTGCAGTTCATGGGCTTGCTTCAGATGCCATTTCAGTATTCCTGAGGATGGAGGCAGAAAACGTAGCACCTGATTCCATAACTTTCGTTGGAATCTTAACAGCATGTAGTCATTCTGGTTTGATTGGAGAGGGTCTCAAATATTTTGATTTAATGACTAGCCGTTACTTAATTCAGCCACAAATAGAGCATTATGGAGCAGTAGTTGATCTCTTTGGTCGAGCAGGGAAGCTAGAAGAGGCTTATGGCATTATTAAATCAATGCCTATGGAGCCAGATGTTGTTATATGGAGGGCACTTCTTAGTGCTTCTAGAACTTACAGAAAACCAGAAATGGGTGAAGTTGCCATTGCTAATATATCACGTCTCAAGGGTGGGGATTATGTCTTGTTGTCAAATAC